GCATGCAGATGTGGATCACCGTGCATATTTAAACCAAAGACACTTAAATTAATAAGTAAAGCATCACTATCCATGCCAACATGCAAACATTTCAGTCTTTTTTTTCTTTATATAATTTCATTCATCTTTTATTGCCTTAATTTATAAGGAGTACATAAAATGCATGTTCATTTTCTAAAATTGCAAGGAGAGGAGGCAGCTGGCAGTTAAATTAATAGGACATTATTTCCCATCATGCCATTCCATTCCAGCTCTGTCCACCACCAACCCCCCAGCCTCCATGCCTGACCTGACCCCTCCCCCCTCTGCTGACCTCTCTGACTCCTCCCACTTTATCAAGGTCTAACTTTGCAGGTGAGTCCATAACACAGCCCCCCACCTTCATGACCCCTCCCACAAACCAGCCTAACGTACCACCACACCCTGTGACTTCCCCCCCGCCCATCCCACCACCCCCACACATACACACACACGCACACACACGCGCACACACACACACACACACACACACACACACACACACACACACAGTCATTCTCACACACACACACACACACACACACACACACACACACACACACACTTTACTTCAAATAATCTGTTTATATATATATAAACAACCTGTTGTCATGTAAATCATTTATATTTCACTCTAGTCGGTTGGCAGAGAGGAATGTTTATTCACACAGCTATTTGAAACAGTCCTGGCTGAAATTTTCCACTGTGAAACCCTGACCGCAGTTACAAAAAACAACCGAACACAGACACACGCGAGGACCACTCCCGTGACTCACGCTGAATAGAGCTGGATAATGACCGTGATGCTTTCTGTCAGCATTCATTGGGTTGTGTCATAATTCATACAGGAAACTATATTTCCTCCTAGCATCAACTCTGGCTCATATAAAACAGTTCCAGACATCAAACACTCGGGGAAGGTGCTTGTATTCTCTTGGATGCATTTCATTTATAAAGACATTCAGGATCTTCCTGGGACTGGTGATCTGTACTGATGCCCCCTCACAGGAGTGCTCTTGCCATCCTTGCATATCTAACCTACAGAATTCATCCTCTTTTTCTTTGCTTCAGAAATGCCATTCATTTAAGTCAATAGATTCTTGACAAAGTAAACAGTTACTAGGTAGTTGAAGTTGCTTTCTGGTTAATAAAAAGCAGACAAGCTCGGTCGAATGGATTTTGATCACTTTGTCTTCCGCTAGACAAAACTCATCAGCTGCTAATTATAAGCATTTATGTCAAGACTGCCAAAACTTTTCACACAGTGAGCCCATTGTCTGTGGTTAAAGGATGGTGTGCACATGCCTTTTGGCACAGATGGTGTATTGACTTCCTGCCTGGTGATGTTTTTCCCTGACTCTTTTTTCCTCGTCCCTCTGTTTTAGCCCAGGCCCTGGCTGCCGTCAAGTTTAACGGCGCAACCTTCTGAGCACTTACTGAAGAAAAGGACATACAGACGGATTTATTTTTTTTTCTTTTCCCATAAAGTATATTTTTCCATTCAGTTATTTTTGCAACTGTGAGAGAGAGTATGAAAAAGATTCTTTACGGTCTGCAGCTGCGTCTATATGGCTTCTGGATACGTGAGTGACAGGTGGCACAGGCTTTGATGGTGACAGTCTCTAAACAGCAGGGGGATCTCTTCCAGTCTCTCCCCAGACGGCTGCCACAGTATACATCCCCGCTGTTGATGCTTTGCAGAAGAGCCGGGCTGTGTGTGAAAGACAAACTGTACGTCTGGAACAAGGATTTATGAAGGCGAAATCATGTGATGAGGAGGTGGAGAGGTTTACAGCTGTTATTGGAGAGTTATCCGAGTACGAGCGGGGTGTATCCAAGGTAAAAGCCAGCGTTTGCAGGGGTCAGAGCAGCATAGAAAGCGTCACACAACTGCAGGCAGAGTCTCACCCAAGTCCTTGACTTTTTGTACATGCTGAGAGTCGGGGGAATTCTTCCGTGGATGGCTGCCGTGCGGGACTGAATAAATGTATGGATTCAGTGTTGCACAGCTGTTATGGCAGAACGAATAAACCCCGGGAAAGCTAATCAGCCCAGGATGGGACAGGTGTCCCTGTGTGCCTCTCACAGCCTGGAGACGAGGCACGGAACACTGACTGCGACCCCTGACCTTGGGGGTGGGGCCTTCAGCAGCACTCGCATGACCACAGACTTCCTGCACCGTGTGACTCCCTACATGACCAAATAAGGAGCGCTCCCCATGTGGGCCAGTGCCAGCGCCCACACTTTGTGGTGTCTGTTACCCCTTTGATCCTTCACTTTGTCCAGTTTGGGACGTTTTTTTATATAAACTACCATTGTCTCGAATCTCTTTGGTAATGTACCTCCCGGCACTTTCCAGTGTAATACCCTAAAGCACCAAGGCTAGTCAATGTGCCTGGTTCTGGGCTAATAGCATATGTGATTGGGTACATGATATGTCTGGTTCTGTGGTTTCTTTCCATGTTACATCATATGGAAATGCACATGATATATATATATATATATATATATATATATATATATATATATATATATATATATATATATATACAGTAGCAGACACTGTATGGCAGGTGTTTTATTGCTATGCTAAGTAAACCTATCACAAAAGCTGGCAAGCTAGTGTTTGTCACCTCGTTGCAAATGTAGAGTATTGCAGGTAGCCAGATAAAGTTAAGCTTGCCATTACGTGCACATCACAATTTGCAAGCAATAATTTGTTCTTTCATTTCCTAGGTCAAAATGGAAAGTAATAAAACCACATAACTGGTTAGCCTGAGGTGTTTCACACAGAACCAGACATAGGACATACTGTACGTGTGATGAACCAGGAACCCGCCACGACTGGTCACTGAGTGCTTGTGGTCGTTACACCAGTCCTAACCGAACATGCTGTAGCTATACATTGAACATAGCTTTGCATCATAACTGTTGTGACATCCCTCATGTGATACTTTATAGATTAATATTGTTCAAAGAAATACAGAATATAGTAAAGAGCGTGCAAATGCAGAAGTGACCTTAGAACTGAAAGTCTCTTTTGGCTGGAATGGCTGTTTGCTTGGTAGAGGGTGGGCTTGAGACCAGCGTTACAGTTCCTCAAAACAATGCAGTATATATCAACATTTTACACTCCCAACTCATTTATTTCTTGTTTTTTTGTAGAGGATGGACCGAGAGCTTATTTGACATACAAGATGATACATATTTAGATTCCCTGTCATATGTTTTTTTTCCAGGAAAGGATTAGATCATCTGTACCTTTCAGTCTCTCATTTCCAGGAGTGCTCTCCGTCTTCTACGCACATCTGCTCAGGATTTTTCTTTTTTTTTTTTTTTGCAGGAGTATCGACGTGTTCAAATGTCTTTTTGTCATATGTTTATTTTTTTAATATAGTATACCACTTTAAATATGTCACAGTTTCCACTGAGGAAAAGTTTGCATAGCATCACACAGTAAATGATATATAGCAGTACCGCAATGCAACTGTAAATGCACTGTTAAATCTATGAATATTTCTGACTGCACCAAACAGCCAGCCAATGAAAATGATGTTTATGGACTTCCTGAACAGGAATGAAGGTATCTCATTCTATGGAGATCAAAGACTGTATCTTTTCCTGACCCCATGTTTCACCTGCCCCTATGTTTTAATAAAGAAAACCACTCGTGAGAACTCAGGTCACTAGTTTGTTTATTTTCTGCACTGGCTTTTGAAACAATTTCGATCAATGAAGCAGTCTAAATTGTCCAATGCATGTAAGCCTTATTCAGCTGTCAATCAAATCTAACCTTTTCCGTAAGGTCATGATAATAATGCATTTTTATTCTGAGGAGAACCTTGCTATTGGATGCTATGTATAAATGTTGCATAAAAATGGTGGCCAATTTCAGTACTTGTCAGCTAAACTGTTGTGTTAAACTGTACATAAATATAGGGAAAAATCCAATTTGCTAATTTTCCTGCAGTGTCTGAATTGTGCAGAAATTCACTGCAGGCATGATAAAAAGCCAGCCCCCAGAGGGTCCTAAAAGGACCCTGAGCAATATGAGCCTGGCATATGCATACTTCAGAAAATTACAGAACAATTTCCATCTCTTTCTGTAGATGCATTCAAAATGACCCAGATATATTTTGTTCTATTATTATCATCTGCACATATTACAGTGATAATAAAAACCTGCTTACATCTGGTAAACAAGCTGTGCTCTGCTTTGTCCGTACAGCTTTGCCTCACAGGGAATCCTGTTACACTTCAGTAAAATATATTTGGGGAAAAAGAAGTATGTCCCTAAATATTGCTGTCGATATTACATTGTCTAAAGCCACCATTTCAGTTTTAAACAATTTGCCACTTTGAATAAATGTGTAAGAGATATGAAACAGAACAATAATTTCTTAAAAAGCACCAAGGGGTTTATGTCAGGTTAAATGTTATAATTTCAGTGTATGTATTATGATTATGAGGAATTTGTAATCCTAAAAGGCTGTTATGTTACACAGATCTGGGTAGTGTTTTAGTGTTAGCAGCTCCTGTAACTCAGCCCCAGATGCTCGACCAGCTCCTGCGCATTTCCTGCTCTTAGCTGTTGTTGATGCCTGTTCACATTTCAGTAAATTTTTGTTGATCGCATGTCAGGTCAAACCCAGGTTGTACCAGTACCTGCAGGCAGCTGAAAGCCACAAACATCCATCCTGAGCTTCACTCCCTCATACTCAGAGCTGACATAGTAACCTCATGCTTTTGAATGTGGAAGTTTGTTTTTTCCTGAGTTGTGTTTATCACAGTGCCAAAGTGTTCCTCCCTCTCTGCTCCCCCCTTGCCACCGTACTGTACATTCCTAAATTTCAGATCTCTGCCTGGTGATCAGACTCGATCCTCACAGGTAAGATTGGTTTTCCTTCTTCGTCCCCATCAATCAATCCATCAGGTCTGTTTCACTGGATGCACAGTGGCAATTGTAACAAAGTAAATGGGGTGGTAGTGTGGCACAGTGGTAAGGAGTAGGGCTCATAACCAAAAGGTTGCTGGTTCGATTCCTTGCTGGGGCACTGCCGCTGAACCCTTAGGCAAGGTACTTAACTCAGGATTGCCTCAGAAAATATCCAGCTGTATAAATGGATAACACATAAAAATTTTAACCTATGTAAGTCACTCTAGATAAAAGTGTCTGTTAAATGCCAATGTCAGGTAATGTAATGTAAATGCCCCAGGGTGCTAAGCAGAAGGTCATCCATGTTGGCATCTGGTAAGCATGGTGGCCATTTCCCTCATTACTGGTGCACTGAGCCAGGCCTGCAATGTGATGTTACAGGTGAGTTACCTGCTCTTGCTTTGGAGAGTCAGACGCACGTCAGTGCTGCTTCAGCCAGCACCATTCCGGGTCTCTGCTTTTCATTTGACAAAGAGGTAGGTTTTCAACAGTAAAGGCATTACAAAAAAACATTCCCCCCCCCCCCTCCCCCCACCACAGGATCAGGACGATCACTGGTGACGGACACCCTTAACCACCACTGCCATGTGCTCTCGGTTCCTCGAGCACAGATGGCCCTGTGGATTTCACAGCTGCGTGCAGCACATCGAGTGTCAGTCCCACCCAAACGCTCACACATCGACCTCTTAAGGGTCAAAGCTGACGAACTGAAAATAGGAGCGATCGCGGCAATCATTGTCTCCTCCGGCTCTGGCCCCGCCCCCTCTCTTCGTGCAGATAATTCATTGCTTGATGACTTGTAAGACAAGCTTGGCGATTCCATCAAAGTGTGAGGCGCAGCCGTAACTCACAGGCATGGCATGTTCTGCAATCCTCAGCTCTGCGTGGGGACAGAGAGCTGGATGCTGGAGAGGGGGCCTCATTCCGAGCGGAGGAGTGATATATTCCCTCTGCATGCATCAAAGTAGATGTTACTCAATCATCTCCGCTGATCCACTGCTCCAATCAAGACAAAAAAGAGAAAGAGAGGGCTGCATTTGTGGAGTGGTATTGTCTTTGTATATTACATTGTTGTTACTTAGCAGAAGCTCTTATCAAGAGTGATTCACATAGGTTACAATTTTGTCAGTTTACACAAGTGGATATTTACTGAGGCCATTGTGGTTTAAGTACCTTGCCCAAGGGTACAATAGCACTGTTGCATCAACCACAAACCTTTTGGTTACCATTTCTGCTCCTTACCACTACACCACAGTGTTGCACCCTGCTTTTTCTGATTAATTTGATGTTTACTTAAGTCTGCGTTTTTGGTGAACCTTCATTAGTGAAAGAAAGAATGCTTACACGTTCTGCGGTGAGGTGCAGACCGCACTGACCTTGATGAAACAAAGTGCTGAAATGAGTTCTGTTTCTGTGCTGTGTCCCAATGCACTTCTGTGAATTCAGACCACTTTCAGTGTGCAATATGTTGAACATTCTTTTAGTTCACTGTTTGACCTATTAAGGCATTTACGGCAAAATATTTTTGTTTGCTTCCCAGATGTGGCCTTACTGTTGGATCTTTTAGGAAATTATTGATCTTAAAATGAATATGCAGCTGAATAAATGCTACTATACAACATGTTAGATGTACCCAAAGTAATTTTTTTCTACAGCTTTGTCTCTGTTGACCTCATATTTTTTTCTAAGAAAATCATATAATCTTTAATGTAATGTAATAATGTAATGCAAGACAAAATGTGAAAGAAGGCAATACAAATATAATAAAAAGACACAAACAACCAAGTAGTCACACAGTAAATGACACCATATTAAAACAGCATCGACTATATCAGAATATTCTGAAAATAATACCAGAACCCTCAATGTAGATACAGTACATGCTTCCTTTTGGACTCATTAAATTAATAAATTTGTGTCAATGTCTTTATGATTAAGGATCATAATGTTTCATCGTAACTGAATTGCGCAATGGGTTCTGAGAATCCTCTGTAATTGCTCTGTGGTCCACTGTCTGATGTTAACCTTCAATAAGTTAATTTCGGATGTTGGAGAGTGCATTGAATGTGGGCCTTCAGGTTTCTTTCATGATTTCTATTTAGGACTCGGTAAGCCAGTCACCATGTGATGCCCTGGAAAGGCTGCCAAGCTGCCCTTTCAAGAATTGAGCTGAGCAACTGAGAAAGCCCATCTCACCACCTATGAATGTGGAAATTATCTGGAACATTATGTACTGAGATCAACACAATGTGCGGGGGAGTATTAAATAGACTTCAGAAAAAATAAACAAAATACCAAGCACACAATGAGCACACAACTTGGCAAAATAAATTGAGAAATTTCCCTGATTAACAAAGGTTGGGTAATTTTTATCGGTTTGCCAAAAACCATACAACTCACACACACTTCCCTGGATTATATAACTGCCTGAAACCCTCCGGTAACCAACATCCTCCGTCCATCTGACAAACACATATGCTCAGTAGCATTGGCCACTCTTGGAGAAAAACCATACAGTTGCACTGAACACTGCAGAAAATAAGCACTCAAAGAACATGCAAAGTAAAAAGACCACCAGGTCTTCTCTGGGTTAGGAAACTATATGCATGCTATTTGCTAATGCTGAAAAGGCAAAAATGTACACCAATCTGTTTCAGACTCCCTTTAGGCTGGAAGAAGGGTTCATAACGGCACACCATTAGTGATACCAACACAGAAAAAAAATGAATCTGTCCAAAAAAGAATGCAACTCACAGATACATCATGTGAAATGTCTTGTTTCCAGGTCACATCTCAGTGTTGATCAAGTTTTCTATTTGATCTGAATTTCTGAAGCTAACTAGCCCCACGTTTCACAGGTTTGTAGTGAGTTGTGGTCATTGAAATTATTAAGTTGTTGTGACAGAAGTAATTTAAAAAGCTTGCATTATTCTGCTGCTTGTTGGTTGTTATAGTGTGGTAAATTTAAAGGAATCAGTGCCACCACTTAAGACAGGGCTCTACCACACAGCCAAACTCAGAAGCAGAACTCATAGTAATGAGAGTATGTTAGTCCTAATTTTGCTTCACTTTATACAAGTAGCTTACTTCTGAGGTTATACATAGAAAATAAAAATAGAAATGGGAAAAAACAGCCTAATTACATTTTTTAAATATTTTTGACCAATAATCAAATCAGGATTCCAAGAAACCAGAGTAACCATCACAAATTAAAGACCTTATGTTTTCAATCATTGTGACAAATACATATTTTATTCTATTGTGATTAAATGGAGCACAATTGTTAGACCTCTCCACTAAGCACTCTGATATCTCGTCACACATCTGGACAGTTCTTATCATTATCTGTCTTCCCTTTCCGATAAAAATGCAAAACAGGAATACCAGGGTTATATAGATATAAGGTATATAGTTTGCTGTACATGTGAAAGAAGCAACCCATTTTTACCTTTTTTTTTTTACCCACAATTAGGTCGTATGACTTTGTGTTCTTGAAAGTTTTATTCAAATCATGCATGTACTGAAAAGTGATTGTATTTCAACAAGTGCAAATGTACTGTATCGGGCCCTTTGGTGCATCTTTTGGAATTACCAAGTTGTCTACTGATCTCGTCCACAGAGTCCTAAAGGAAATAATTCTGGGCTTTGCGTGTTCTTTTGGGTGTGGTTCAGCAGAGAGATTTACCTTATATAACATAACAGTCATCTAGTAGGTTTAGTAGATGCTCCTATCCAGAGCAACTTACATAGTCACAATTTTACATGTTATCCATTTATACAGCTGGATATTTACTGAGGCAATGTTGGGTTATGCACCTTTGTCCAAGTATACAACAGCAGTGCCCCAGCAGGGAATCTATCCGGCAACCTTTCGGTCATGAGCCCTGCTCGTTAAGACTCCAGCTCCAGCCTGGCTCTAGTGTGCTGGAGAGTGCAAAGGAGGGCTGACCACTGTGTGTTTCTAGCTGCAGTTCAGCCCTCTGCACAGCTTACCTATAAATATGATTAGCTCGCTAAGCTAAAGACCCTGGTGGCCTGTGTGATTGTACCTCATGACATCACTTTCTGTTTCACTCGCCCTCTCACACGGCTCTGCTCCGTTGTACATCCGCATGAACACACGCGGTTTCATATATCCCTCTGTGCTGTCACATCATGCAGTGTTTACTTGCATGACTGCTTTATAAAGTAGTGAATTCACACTCATGAGGATGTTGTTAATGTTTAATTTGAAGTTTTAAAGCTTCACCCAATATGCGTTATTAACTCTATCAAGGAGCCTGAGTGAGGCAGTCTTCCGAATATCTGCTAAAACTAAACTGCTATGTCTGTCCTTACCAAATCCCTCTGCCAACGGGGGAATAAACTGATAAATTATTCTGGCAGACAGGATATGAGGAGAGCCATGTGGCCTCCATTAGGCAAGTACCTCACTCCTAATATGATATATTAACAATTCTGTTATTTTTGTCATGCACTGTTGATATATGAGGAGTAAAACTTTTTGGGAGGCTGTCAAAACATAGCAGCTCACTGGAATGAATCAAGCAGTGTCCATGCCTTTGATATGAGCGCATCAAAGTTACACGTATGAGTTCTGTATTATCACGTTTTTTTTTTTTTTTTTTTTTAAGAAGTCCCACTTACTTAGTTACTTAGTGGCCGGACCACATACATCATTTAAATTAGCGTGCTTAGCCCGACCCCCATGTCTCTGGCAACTATGGTGTTTCATTTTGAAAATTCAGTCATGGCAAAAAACAATGTGTGGTAAGTGAAAGGCAATTTAAATCAAGTAAATAAGAAGAAAAGGCATGAATAATGTCTTGCTCTGACACACAGCTTCCCATATTTGTAATAAATCTGCTGTCCATGAGAGAGAGAGAGATAGAGAGGGGGGAAAGAGAGACCACATCTTCAGGAAGACCTCAAAGAAACTGTGACGCTCCTTTCCTCAAGCCCAAGGGTGTATGCACATATTGGAGGACAGGACAACATGCCTCTTAGATTGTATGTACCTCCCCTCCCCCATTTTTGTTTTGGCACATAGCACTTATGGAGATGGACGACTGTGTTCAGTCCTGCAAAGCTGTAAGCAATGTCATTGTCTTTCTGTTGGCAGGT